ATTAAATATGTATTTGTGTTGTAAACATTGTGAATCCTATCACCACCACTGTAAAGAAATCTGAGTCTGTGAGTTGCTCTGTTAAGGCAATTATAACCATTTATAACAGTTTTCACATGAAACCACTAATGACTTTGTCTCAACAATTGAATTACACACACAATTTGAAGCAGCTCCGCCTTAACTGGCTCAGACGTCAGGCTTCCGTGGCTAACCGTTTAATCTTAAACACAGTCCACCTTTTTCTGCTTGTAAAAATACATGCATGTAATGAAGTGATGATGGACAAATACAGTCACACAGAAAAACCTGGTTTTTCCGAATGGTGTGCTCAACCTTCTGACTGAACGCATTAACATTCCTCTGTCTGACTAAACGAACCACTTCTGTGACTTTGGGTGAAAGTAAAAGATGAGATGTTTGAGCGCTTACAGTTGTGACTGTTATCGTGTGTGTTGTGCGTCAGTGTGAATTAGGGCTCGTGTTTGTGTTTGAGTTTCTTAGGGAGTGTGTGGGTGTGAATTTGACAAAACCAGGCCACTAGCACTAAAGGCTTCTTCTCCACAGGAACGTGCCTTTGGTTTTAAAACTCGTCCGCCCTGCCTACACGCGTCCTGCTCATGAACCAGTGCTGTTCACTCCAGAGGCCTGTGTCTATAATCTGTACTGTACATACAGAATGTGTGTGTGTGTATATATAGACACAGTGTCTATAAAACACTGACCATGTTGAGGCCTTTGTACAGAGCTTTTTTCTGTTCTGTTAAAGTACAGGTTCAGATGATTCTCAGGAAGCTCGAGTGCCCGCCGTCACTAACGCAAAAGTAGGACATACCAGTGACTACGAAATTTAGAGTTTTCAGAATTTTTCTCATGATAATTTTCATTTAAATTAGAAAGGAATGCAAAATAGAAGCTTTTTCACTATATGTATGTATGTGTGTGTGTGTGTGTGTGTGTGTATATATATACATACATATAGTGAAAAAGCTTCTAGTTTACATTCCTTTCTAATTTAAATGAAAAATTATCACGAGAAAAATTCTGAAAACTCTAAATTTCGTAGAAAGAAATATATATAGAAAGAATTGTGTTTGTATCTATTTTGTATATTGACATCAATGGTTGTATGCAGGAAATATATATGAATCTGATGCTGATTTTTAAGACCTAAAATGAGTGTCACCTGGTTGTAATTGTAGTTTTAAGCTTTACTCACTGATATAATTGCCAGCTGACTTTCGGTTCTAACAGAAGAAAGTCTTTCTGATGAACGTTGTAATGTCACGGGTGAAGTTTCTCAGAACTCGTTAGCTTTTTTGGTTTGAGGCATTTTACATGTTTGTTTTACTCGTGATGCTGTTTATCAGTTCTGCCTGCTGTAATAACAGAGAAACATTTGGATTCTAAGAAATAAGTGGTTCTTTTCGCGTAAGAGGTGGTGTTTCACTGCATTGCCAACAAGCCATCATAAACATCAGTGTTTTATCTGTTTGCCAATACCAATAAATCTCCTTAAGACTTGGCTAATTAGTGTGAAGTTGTCCTCAGCTGAGGTGTACCTGAGTCACTCGATTGACTAAGATTATAAAACCTCCAGCGCGTTATGCTTAGAGCTTTGCATTTTTAAATAGGGCACTCAGTGTTTGTTTAAATTCCTGCCTTGTTTTTTTGAACACACCCTTAGGGGCTGTGATTCGGTAGGAAAAATGTCAGACATCCCTCAAGAAGGTGGGTCGATTCCAGAGTGGTGACTATATTAATTAAGGTGATATTATATTTTAAGCTCTGCCCGTACTGGATGGACCTTCTTTTCCAAGTTTCAGCCAGAAGGTTTGGTGTACAGCCTCCTTAACCGACCTTTGCCGCTATTGTTCAGTGTCCCGTGAGCGTCTGTAGGCGTTTCTGTGGAACTGGCAGATGAAACACATCCTCAAAGCGTTCGACTTCTGGAGAGTTTCTTTGTCTTTCTTTGGAAGCTGAATGTTTTGTCTGTTTCCAGGCTTTCATTACTGAACTGTTTTCTCTCTGTTCCTCTCCACGCTTGATGTCAGCGAAGGAAGCAAGAGTGCTATCTTTCTGAACTTAGGAACTGCTACAGCAGAAGATTTGACGTGTGTGGTGCAGTTTAAAGCACTACAGTAATGTCCTGAAATAAATAAGAGAAACGAAATGGCGGGTTTGGAGTTATGATGTTCAGAACACAGAGCTTGCAGACTAGGGCAAGATTGCAGTCGGAGCCAATCCAGGCATGTTATCCTCCGTCATCTAGTTCTAATTCTTTGTAAATATAGACTTGATCCACCGTCTTTGGTTGGTTGCCGATGCTGCCATGACTCTGATATTATGATTTTCAGACAATAACACATTGTCGTTTGGTCTCTAGCGTTCTGGTACTGTCCTTGGTATCAGTAGTAATATTCAGTTATCCTGGCACCCTTATATTACAGTATCAGTTAAAAAAAAACAGCCGCTGTGGGTGAGACTGACATCTTGGTGCTTTTAGCCTGAAGGTGGAGGTAAAAGGAAAATAAACAAGTTCAAAATATTTGAATGGGCTGATCCGTCTAGTCAGTGTCGTCTAGCCATATGCGCATCCATATCTGAGTGAGTTTTTGCGTCTAGGCACTACTAGAGAGACCTGCTTCTATTTGAAATTGGTGCTTTTAAAGGAGATTGACCAAACCTGCTAACATGGCTAACAGAGAACAGTAGGCGTCAGTTAGCTTGATACCAGTTACATAATGTTATACAACAGTTAGTTCCGGCCACGCAAGCTGATTGGTTGAGAGGCGTTCTAACCGTGCTGTTATTTCGCCATAACATCACGTTTTTTTCACAAACACTATCACTCCGCTTAGACGCTGTTGCTAAGCAACGACTTTGACAGCTGTAGGAGACGCTCAAGCCGTTTGAACGTTTTTACTTGTTACTTTGCCTCAAACAGAAAATGGACACTTTTAAGATCACATTTGACCGACGGGCGATTTGGTCAGACTCTGAAGATGAGACGACACTAAATTCCCAAACTGTCACCACTGAGCAGCTTTTCAGTCGGCAGCTGTGACAGAAGAACAGCTAAACAACCTGGAATCAGCCAGAAATGAACCCAACACCATTCGCCAAACTAAATGTGCTGTAAGATGATTTACAGACTGGCTGGAACAAAACAACATTAATACTGATCTGGCAAAAAAGACAAAACTGAGCTAAACTTGATATTGCCGCAGTTTTATGGCTCGGTCTGTACTTCAAAAGACGAGGCTTACAGCAGACTTAGCAGCGAGTGGGCGGAGCTCGTTACTCTGACATAGCAACAAGCTGCTTGTTAAGGAACTATAATTTAGCGGAAGGAACTGCTAACGTTAAACGTTAAACGCCGCGTTCACGGCCCAGTTTATTAATTTATTACTGTATTTATTTAACTGTTGTATAAAAGCAACAGAACACTCGAGGAGTGTGTTACTGCAAATAACATTGCGGCTGTGATGATCTACCGCGACCAAATCACAACCGTGATGTTATTTCGCGATATCACACTCCCTCTCGTGTTCTGTTGCTTAAGTAACTGGTGGCTGTTCGCTTTCATTCATTGTTTTGCAACAGTGGATTTTCTGGAAAGACTGGCTCCATCGCAGTGACGTGAGGAAATCATACTGGATATCTGGAAATCTCGTCTGGAGATTCCAGTGCAGAAAGGTCAACCGTCAAAAGCAGTGTGGTTGCTTTGGACTGGAAGGAGCTGGAGTAAATTGGGGGAATGGGAGGTGAAAGGAATAGCATGTGTGTGTCAGACAGAGAGAGATGCATAGTCAAGTGTGGGGGACGTTTGGAGAAGCGGGAAACGCTGGAATTTCTGCGTAGGAAAAATGATTCTGTCACTTCCTAACTCTCCACTGTCCCATTGTGTTTTTCTGGGGGGGGATTTTTTTGTCATTGTTTTTCTTTTATTATTATTACAAGCCTGTAGGCTTTCCAAAGCTTCTCATCTTCAGCTGTTGTTTGGTTTGAAAAACCTTCCTTTACTGAGTTGCCTTAAGACCCCTGTGCAGTTTACAATAGTAATTATTTCCAGTACAGTCATTTGTTTATAATTCTCAACGTCTCAGTTTATCCTGTTTTTGTGTGGAATGCTCTGTAGTCCCCTTGGACGTCCGTGTTATGCGTTGTTTATGAAGTAAATTTCACTTTAGGAGCAACGCTAATAAAAATTACAGAACATTTGGAGGAAATATGATCTGGTACTGTGTAATGTGCATTTCCTTTGATAGTTTGAGTGTAAACAAGTCTATTATTTCTAGATAGTATTAGAATTAAGGTATTTGCTGTGATGTCAACGGCTACAAGCATGGCTTAAAAGGATGGTTCACATTAACGTAATTAACATTACCACAAATGAAGGTGATCAGCCAAGACTTGTTGTGTTTTGCCTCTTTAGCACTGGAGCTGGGAAGATAACGTTGCTAACAAACACTGGAAATCAATAGTCACCCAAATCTTTTCTGTGAATACATCAACAAAACGTCCCTCAGTGTGTGGTTTAGAACACAGTATGACTTAAACTTACTTTCAGCTGTAAAAATGAACTGTACTTCACCGTGTAGCCGAATGATTCTGGCAGCGGTAAAGTTTTTTAATCATTTTTAATAGTTCATATTAAATAAGTCATGCTGTGTCCCAACACATCAACACGTCTGAGTGACCTTGAGCTGGATGCGATTTGAGCAGATTAAGAGACGTTTTGTAGATGTATTCACAGAAAGCTTTTGGGTGACTGTTGACTTCTAATGTTTGTTAGCAATGCGCTGCGGTCGGAAGAAAACCTCAATTTTTTCAGTTTTTCAGTTTTTGATATCTGAAAATGCCTGTTGCTCTTTACTTTGTGTGTACATGTTTTGAAGAATGGACTGAAAGAAACGGCCCAAAATGACTCGGAAAAAAGTCTGGTTCCATTGACTTACATTAAAAGTAAAGTTGTTTTTTTTTCTTCTCTTGTCAAGTTACCATTTTGGAGATACGAGGTTTTCTTCCGACAGCAGCGAACGTTAGCCTCATAGCTCCAGCGCAAACCAAAAAGAGGCAGAATTTCGACGCCTGAAGTGTCTTGGCTGATCGGCTGACCTGGAGTAAGTGGAAATTGTGTAAATTTGATATTTTTGCTGAACTATTTGATTTAAAATCTTCATTGTTGTTATTAACTAAAGTTAGCTAACTAGCTAATACTGGTCAGGCCCCAGTTTGGTTGTGGGATATTATCTTCTAGCCATTTTATTTAATGAATGATGTCCCTGGCTAGCTTTTATTCCAACCATGCTATCGTAACTTTGTTGATGTTAGTGCTAGCCTAGCTACACTACGGTCATCTCAACAGTCAGTTATCACGTGGTTGACCTTCCTGTGATTTCGTTATGGCGATTAGGGCCGATTTGTCCGCTTGCACGTGGTATTGTCCTCACTTAGAGAGACACGAGTGTACACAGGACATAAATACGACTTGAGGTGCTCAGTGGTTTTGTTGGATGGTGCAGGCAGTTTGGTTCATGTCCCAGTAGGTGTGTGGGTGTATGTGTGTGTGTTCCCGACTGCATGATAGAGCGTTGAGTCATGTGGAAGAGTGCCAGAGAGTTACTGGAAGCCGTGCTTTCTATCAGCGTCTGCCTCCTTAATATATCAGCACCGGCAACCAACAGCCTGTGTCTGCAGAGGAGTTTGGTGAGAGAACCTCGTATCTCTGAAACGTTGACTTTATAGAAGAAGGAGAAAAGTGCTTAACATCTGCTAATGTACGGTTTGCTTTTCAGAGGACTGTAGCTAAACGGTCCCTGTGTTTTTATAGTTGTTTAACAGCAAACATGTTGAGATACAGCATTTAATGGGCAGATATAAAAGCCAGTGGAGTTGAGAGATTTTATTCCATCAAATTTTGGACCATCCTCTGCTAAAGAAATGGTCACGCAGTATAAAAGGAAAGTGGTGATTTCAAATGGTGGGGAAAAAAAAACAATAAAATTTTTTAGTTTTTAGTGAAGCTGCGATACGCAGGTTGTTATTTCTAGCAGCGCTGGTTCTGCAGAATGTTAGCGCGTGTAATTTCCTGTTGGAGTTGCTGAATGATGCGGTCCAGGGTGTTCAGTTTGTTATCAGATGGATCTAAAGATCACATTCGTTTCCTCTGTTGGTGTTGAGCGTTGTTAATGATCATTGTGGCTGGTGTGTGGATGATGTCACGGTAGCGGCATGCCAGCAGTGTGGTGAGTGCACCTGTACAAACAGCTCAGAGAGAGAAATGTGAAGCGTGAAACTGCCACCAAACTGTGCCCCCCCCCCACAATCACCTGCCCCCCAGTTGCGCTGTCTCTCTCTCGCTCTCGCTCTCTCTCTTTCTCTCTCTCTCTCTCTCTCTCTCTCTCGCTCTCTCTCTCTCAAACTATTAGCCAAATTTTTTTCTATCTTTATACAGTGTGCAGTGTCCTTTTAATTTAAAATCTGTACACCTCATATAATGTTCTGTTACAACTAAAGTCTTTATTCCATAATACGATGCGTCTATTTTACATAGAAATTTTGGTAATTAAGAGTTTTTGAAACCACTGGAAAAAGTATTTTATACTCAGCCATATTCTTCTAATTTGTCGCAGGGCTATGATGTCTAACTGGTCACTGTAGACATCTGAACTGCCACTTTATCTCCAAATCACCCCAAAAATTCAGACTATTTTTTTTAGCTTATATTAAATGGATAAAAGTCTGAAATAATTCTTTGCTTATGAATCTGATGTGAAGAAAAACAGAAGTCGAAAAAGCTCTTCTGCGTAGGGCTTTTATTATGAAGCGGCATGTCATGCTTTTTTTTTTATTTAAAAAAGGATTCTATTTTGACGTGACGTGTCAGGCTTTTTTAAGAGGAGCTTTTGTTTTGACATGCTGCAGCACTTCATAGAGAAACACATGGGCTGTTTCTCAATATCAAGAACGCAGAGAACAGACTTGTATTCTTAGGAAGAAGGTTCTTGATAGGTTATCTTGTAAGAACACAAGAAAGGAGAACACATACCGGAGATTGAGATGCGCTGTGGACTTGCTATTGTGCCACAGCTCAGTCCAGCTGATTTCACCAGCAATATTTAGCAATATATAAGCTCTGAATATTACACTCGAGACATAAAGGTACTTTTGTGAAAAACAAATGACGAAACAGAATCTTATATGACCCTGTGCTGTATTTCTTAGCTAGGAAAAGCCAAACTTCATCAACTACAACCTTGACGGATAAACTATGATTTTACAAGCCTGAATTTCAAATAAATTAATGTAACTGCAGGGTGAGGGACAATTGAGTAGAAGTAGGAGAAATGGAGCGAGAGAAAAAGTGCTGCTGCAGCCGTCATAGCTGAGCTGTCGAAGGAGGGACTGCCTGCTGTAGTGCCACTTATCTTGTTGTGGCTCTTTGCTGTAAAAGATGCTAATGTGTAAACACATAATTAAATTAACACATACTGTGCGCAGAATATACGTTAATAAATATATATATAATAAATATATATATTAGCACTGTCAGAACAACTTTTCATATTAGATATTATTTGTACCGAATAGTTTAAAAAGCTTCTTTGATGTGTTTTATGACTGCATCTTTAGGTCTGTTTGTTTGTTGGTTTGTCTGTTTGTGCTTTGAAAATGTTTAATAAAAATATTTTCACAAAAAAACAAAAAGGACTTCGCAACCTACTGCTGAGGGTCAGTATCCTCTGCCAGGTGTGATGATGCTGCACTGAATGATGGGATTTTCAGGTTGTTTTCGCATCCTCTGTATTCCAGGCAGATCAAAAACACTTCTAGGCACTTTAAGTACATTGCATTGCAAAGAAAACTGTATTAATAGTATCGTTAGTGGATCGGTCACTGTAGCCGATACCTGATCTGTTTATCAGGTCAGCGTCGGTGGCCATACAGATCCAGTGTATCTGATTAGTGCATCACTAATAATAATAATAATAATAATAATAATAATAATAAACTAAAAAACAATTATTAAATAATACTTAGATATTAGCTGTAACTATTAGATATTAGAAATTTTAGCTTCTTCAAATCGATACTGCACTGGTTGTAAGATGTTCTGAGCGAACATCCTCACATCGTTCTGCCTCTGCGTTTCATTCCTCCTCCTACTGCTCATGTCTGTGGATGGCTGTGTAATAGCTGATCACACCTGGCTTTAGGCTCCAGTAATTGGCCTCTCTTAATTGCAGGCTTTCTAACTGTAGCTTTGCCTAAACCTACACGTGCATAATGGAGCTTCTCAGGAAGAGAGATGAGACTTAATGGACTTAATGTTGGCCAGAGCTGGATACACTGAATCACATGCAAACCTTTGGTTCTGGGCATCGTTACCCATTACAAACTAAATATGTTTAACCCGTTAAATTCAGTTATTATTTTTAAGACTTATTTAATAAATACTGTACACTTTTCAGTAACTTCTATGAAACTAATGCATGTTGTTTACTTGTGAGAGTGAGAAATTGAAGTGTGGGCCCTCATACATAGTGGTTTCATGGACCTGAGTTATGTCTAGTCTTGGACTGAATTGCTTATGACTTATGGTAATTACTTTATTACTACTGAGTGAAGTATAAATGTTGTCATTCATTACCAACTTGGTGGTCAGTCTTGGCATAGATGAGCCAACAAGCCTGCTGAATATAAAGAAAGGATCGGCTGTCTGAATTCACTGTGTATGTCTGTTATTAACGTCGGCGTTTCCTGATTACACTTTAATCTGTTGTCAGTAAATATCCAACTCCGGCTTATCACACTCATTTCTGGTTTAAGCCACACCCGGATTAAGAGGGGCGGGCGGTGGGTATTCGGGAAGAGGCATCGAAATCTCTTTATCTGTGTAGGTGTTTTGAACGATACCCAGTCTGACTCTGCTGATAAAGGAAATATCCTTTAAAATTCCTGTGTAATGCGATAGTTGAGATGTAAACAAAGTCAGACTGGTTTGAAATGGTTCATTGTAGAGACTCTTACCAAGGCTGAATTCTTTACAGTCGAGATTATGTGATCCAAACATTTTATTTATTATCCAAAACGACCAGTGAACCTACATGCATCTTCTCGGTTTTTGTATGCAGCGTTAATGATCAAATAGTGGTAAATCTAAAAAAAGTGGTAAATATTTTGCCTTACAACTCCAAAAAAGCCATGAATGGATTTCAGAAATACATTTTAGACCTAAACCTTCTCAAAGCTATTGTAAAACAGTGACTCAGTCATCTGGCATCTGGTATTCATTACCGCTTTATGTTGTAACTTTGTGTGAGGTACATTTAGAGGCATTAAGCCCTTTGGACGTCCGGTTCCTATCACCACCACTGTGAACGTCTCTGACCCTGTAAGTTTCTCTAGAACAGAGTATTTCAGTTAAACCACTCTAAATGTCTTTGTTTACATTTTAGCAAATTAACTATGCAGAAGTTTCGAATATTTGGTGGAATTCCCCTTTAATGTTGTTGGTTAGGGTCATGGTAAAGATGACAGTGATGGTGTGTTCACAGTGTATTGCCCAATTCTGAGTTGCAGTGTGCCATTGTTTTCATTTCCACGCATATACACCCTTCTTCCTCTGCGTGTGTGGGTGTGGGTCTGTGTGTGTGTGTGTGTGTGTGTGTGGGTGTGTGTGGGTGTGGGAGGGGGGTGCCTGCAGCAGCAGAGCTCTGTAGAAAGCTTCAGAAGGAAATTCCAGGCTGCTAAGAGGAGGGCCAAAGGTTACTGCTGGTGGAATCTCATTTTCTGCTCGGCCGCCGCTGAAAAATAGCTGTCTGAAGCGGAGCGGGAGACAAAGGCTGAGACGGCCGACAGCCAGTGGTGGGGGGGGCAGTGTGGTGAGGGGGTTTGCTTTTTTCCTACGCGCTTTTATTGGAGTACTTTGAGCTCCTGAACACTGCTAGAGCATCCGCTGGTATTCCCCACCACAACGTGTGTGTGTGTGTGTGTGTGTGTGTGTGTCTTATCTTTGTAAGAGGAAATGAATGGTGATGTGCCTGACACCCTACACGTTCCACAGGTGTCCCTCTGGAATACAGGAAGAGGCAAGGAACATTCGGGATTTGGGATGCTG